GGCATGCAGTCCATAAAGAAGCAGACCAGGACATGCCTCCCAGAACATTCCTGCTGTTTATTTCTAGGGTATTCTCAGTCCAGATACATAGTTCGTGTTGCATCCTGAGAAAATGGGGTTTTGTACTAGGCTACATATTGGGAAATTTGTGTTTGATTGCTAACATGAAAAATATGGAGAGATTATTTCTGATTTCAGTAATGGTTTATCAGAATATCATTTATGTGCATTACACAGCTATCATATACCTCATAACATACCTTGTAGTCTCTTCAGATCACCAGTGTGGTGCAAAAGGGTAAGAGTGCTAGCCCAAGTCTGCCATTTTTATTCTTTTTCTTTCTTTCCAGACCAATGCCACAAAGGCATTTTGCATACATGCTGTTGTAATAGTTTCACAGATAATTCCCATAATTTGCTTTGGTGTGTCTAAAAGCTTAGTGACTAAAGGCTTTTCTAGCTGTCACTCAACTAACACTGGACCACGTGTCAGTAGTTTTTCATGCGTGTAAGCTGTTCCAAACACAGCTGCCCTCAACATATCTGTTGGATCATGGCCTTATTATGTAGCCATTTTCTAACTACTGTCAAATTTCGTACTTCACAGTGGCACTAAGGTTGCTGTTGTCATTTTTTTGATGGAATACAGCCCTGTCTTGGATTTAAAACTGTAGAGAAAAAAAAAGTCTACTGCTGCAGGTAAAATATTGCTTCCTAAATCCAAGTGTAGCCAAGTGGACTGTTAAGATATTTAGAAGGTTCTTAAATTATTTCCACTTAACAAATACGTTTATGTATTCCATTTTGGTAACTTCTTAGGTTAATACAAAATTACTTTCCTGGCTTGACGTTGACATAAATGTTCTTTTTTTTTTTTTTTTTTTTTCCTTCTTTTTACAGAGGACAGTTAATTTTGTTGCTTGATATTTAGAACAGATACTAGCTTTGAATAGAACATTGTTTCCCAGCCAGATCAGTAGCTACCTCATGTTTTTTTTTCAGTGTTAGCTCAGGACTGGCAAGAATACAGCAGTAAAAGAAATAAAAGTTAGTATGTTCAGAGATATAGATTTATTCAAATAGCAAACATTGTTAATTTCTTTTTTTATAAGACTTCTCCTCGCTCTCCAATAACTATTTGTAGATGTCAGCCTCTAACCTTATTTTAATGAGAATGGCAGCTCTAAATCCCTTCCGATCTCTTTTTTCTTAATGGTTCTAATTGAGGATGTTCCTAGTGTGTATTAAGCTCACTTGGGAGATGTTTAATCAACTGATCTCAAAGAGTCCAAGTCTTATGTTGGCCTGCTATCACTTTGGCTCTTCTGCATTGCTAGGGTCAACCTGTGTTAGTAAGTCTGCTGTTTGCAACTAATTCAAACCAAGAAAGTTCTAAATTCAGACTTTTTCCTACAAGACTAGAGAATTTCCTTCATTTCATTTTGTTGAATCCTATCTAAGAGAAGAACAAAAGGAGCAAATATGTTATTTGTCATATTCATTTAAATGAATAGAAATACCTTGATTTCTTTGTTCCCTTTCATATATTTCTTTCTGAAAATTTTAGCATTTTTTTTTTTTTTTTTTTTTTTCCTTCTCTTTTTATCCTTGTTTAAGCTGCCAGGCCAAATGAGGAAACAATTACAGGATGTTGGCTTTAAAAGTGTCTGGCTTTGGCCAAATAAGTTATATCTTTTTTTTTTTCATTGTGGCTTAAAACATGCTAAATTCAAAGCCAAGTTACTAACCTAAAACTCATGGCAACTTTATTTATTTATTTATTTTTATTTTTTGCTTTGGGCTTACAATAAACTTGGATTAGTTTTTCCACAGTTCCTTTGCCAGTGATTAGTTTGGAAGATAGTATTTTTTGAATTTGCTGAGAGATCTACTACTGCTCTTAGCTTAGTTTTAGTACTTTTACAAAAGCAATCAATAATGCCCGTTTTGGTAATAAGCAAAATTTATGAACTGACAAGCAAAATGTAATTATAGTGGTATTCCATACAAGAAAAAGAGGTGATCTTAAAGCCATCTCAGCATTCTGTTTGCACTCATTTTCATTCATATAAATGATTAAGTGGTTATGTGCTGAAACATTTCTCTCTCATAGGCTTAACATGAGTCTGGAAAAGTTGTTGCCAAAGATTTCTATAATGAAGTCAATGACCATTTGCATTAACTTTTCATTGTTACATACAGACTAGAAGTTTTCACGGTATTATTTTTATGAGTAATCCCTAGCTCAGCAGCAACTTTGACACCTTTTATTTTTTGATCTGTGGGGACTGTACTCCAAAGATATGTACATTCATGACAAAAGTGGAGCCTCTATCAAAAACTGGGTGAGTTTTGCAATTAATGAAACTGTTTCCTTCTGCCTTTCCTGTGCTGAGAAATGTCTCCTTCCTGAGTGAACCACTATAAGAACATTCCAAAAATAAGATACAGTGAAGAAGAAAAAAAAATAAAAGATTTTCCTGGTTTTAAATGTTTTTTTCTTATAGGGCCGGATCCAAAACTCAGTGAGGTTTGTGAAAAAACACCCACTGAGTTTAGTAGGCATTGGAAAAATCTCAAAAATAGAGATGTTAATTTAGTTTCCATTTAGATCCAGGTCAAAGCTATGCTTTGTCTATTCTATTTAGCAATGCATTGAAATAATATGAAGTTAAATAAACATTCTGTCTTTTAATAATCAGAAAATACAGTGAATACAGTGAATTTTAGTACAAATTAAGCAGTTCAGGCAGTTAAGGTAAAGCCTATCTAGTTCTGAAATGGACACATTTTGACACAGATCCTAGCTGTTCTTTATACTTTGCTTTTTGCTTGTATTCTGCATCACCAGTTTTGGCTGTGCAGACTCTTACTAAAGGATGCCCTATTCTAGGTATTAAAAGCAAACAAACAAGCAAACCCAAACCTAAATCACCACCAACAACTACACCCTTGAAGTCTTTGACTCTTAATGTCTTAGTGTATTTAAAGAAATTTGCATTTAACAGTGTTGGTCAAATCATCAGATGGGACCGCCAGCTGTGCCCAATATGTAATGTTAGTCTTTAAACTTGTATGAAGTATTGCTACAGCAGCAACAATTCCATAACTGCAGACACAGAGGACGTTACTTGCAGTGCTGACATGTTTATACCTAAGGTCAGAATAAATTAATTTGCCAGGCCTAAGACTGGAGTAAGTGAAAACCTGCAAGTCTGTAGGACTTACTGGAAAATGTGGATCAACACTTTAGAGGATAAAAACCCTCACTATTGCCTTTTTCAGTAATAAACTCAAATTGGGAGATTTGTGCATGATCCATAAAAGTCCAGTGACCTTTGTGAGGCAGTATATGGGTGAAGAGATAGTTGGCAAAAATCTTTTCTTAGGACTGGGGCCTAAGACTTACTGTTGGAGAGGATGCAAGGAGAAGATGAAAGGAGAAATCTAAGCCTGCTCTCAGATATGTTTCTCCATGCAGCAAAGTAGCACAATGATATCTATTGTTATGCTAGATGCAAATTCCAGCTACAAACATTACATCAGTTTTCTTACAGGATAAAAAAAAGAAGCCTTCCAGATACCCATATTTCATTTGTGGGAAGTAAAATAATGGTGCTGTTAGCTACTGGGTAGAAGATAATTTATATACTGTGTGTGAAACATTTTTCATTAAATCAGGCCTAGAAGATACTTATGTGGATTTGACTTGTGAGATTAGCAAATAGCCTATATTTTATAGGCTTATTTCATATCAGAGAATGTTATCAATGTTTTCATAACTAGTCGGCAACCAAGTGGATTAGCTGAAATTGGTACTAGTCACCAGATCTCATGTTAAGATTGTTGAGCTTTTTTTTTTGTGAATAAAAAGAAAAAAAGGACAGAGCTGATCCCTGACTTCACTCACGGTTCAACAGGCTTATCTTGAGTTTGGAGGAGAAAGAAGGTACAAATCAGGGTTCCGTTTCTTGATGAAATGTTATCGCAAGCTGACCAGTATGCCAGCCTCAGTTCAGTAGAAAAGCTTGCTGATTTAAGCCCTGTACATTTATCCATATATTAACATGGACTGCAAATCTAATTGACTAAGACTGTGATGATGGTCTGGATATATGAGCCTTCCTCTCCTTATAGTGGATGTCTGACAAGACGCTCGCTTGATCTTCAAAACAGACTAACTGGCAACTCTGCAAACCTTATTTTCTTGTCACAAAAATGATAAATATTTGGAATCCTCCCTATTTTAAACCACTGGGAATTATCCATGCACTTACCTGCTTTTAGTCTCTAGGTGCTCCCCGGGATGTGAACCAAGATAGATCCTACAGTGAAGCTGCAAAGTTTCTGAAGGAGTCACTGTCACTGTCTTGCTCACTCTGTTTGCATAGGGTTAATGCAGAAGGACTCACAGAATCATAGAATAGATTGGGTTGGAAGGGACCGTAAAGATCATCTAGTCCCAATCCCACTGCCATGGGAAGGGATGCCACCCACTAGATCAGGTTGCACAGGGCCTCATCCAACCTGGTCTTGAAACATGTGGACTCTAGCACATGGAAGTTATCCTGAGATAGGATAACTTAAGTGCAGCCTCTTTTCAGGCTATGAAAACTCTTTGTGTCAGTGCCAGGAAAGTGATAGGAATAATTGTAATGGACAATTAAGAAATGCAAGACAGACCCACAAATAAGTGTTCACGCTAGAAATTGTTTTGTTTGGTAGAAAGGGGAGGGTAATCAATGTTTCCAGTGAACCCATTTTCCACTCTGTAAATCTGAATTTTGTTCTTTGTGTCTTGAAGCCCATATTTTCTCAGTTAAAAACCTCTGTTTGGTTCTGTATTACTGAGCTTTGTAACATGACTGCAATTAGAAGACACTTAACTGAGGCAGAGGAAACAGTATGCCATTGAAACCTTTTCTTAAGAAAAAAAAAAAAAAAAGGACAATTTTCAACATTTAGGTGATTAGAACCTGTCATTTCATGTTGTTGTTTTCAGGCTGACACAGATGACAGGACAAAGGAGCATACATGGAAATAAAATGAAAATTCAGAACAGATGTCAGGACACATTTTTCATGCTGAATGTGCAGAGTGGCCAACCAGGTAAGGCAAAAGCATTTTCCCATTTAGGAAATAATTAGATGGACCATCATGGACAAAATGGCTTTATCAATTTCCTTTTTCTTTAATTTTCTTACACTCATATTATACTCAAGTTGCTGTTCACTTTTATCTGACTGGAAGCTTCATCATCATCTGGACGTGAATCTAGTCCTTATAGAAATGAATTAACTATTAACTGCTAAGTGAACTAGATATTCTGTCAATATTATATCATGCTGTTATGTTCAAGGTCTAGCAGTGCATCCATTTTGAAGTTCAGAGCGTGTCTGAAAGTTTTTATCACACTTACAAAATGGAGTATAAGAGAAAATCAGAGTGACAGAAGACATTGTTTTTATTATCTTGACAAATCTAATTATTTTTAAATGATAAAAATGTTATACAAGAATTAATTTAGGAGATAACTTAGGAAAAAAAAAAGAACAAACAAAAAAATGAAATGGAGAAAATCAAAACCAAAACAACAACAAAAAGGTGAATGTGATTCTGGGATCTTTGCTTTAGCTGAGGCTTTAGTCCCAAATCTGGTATAGACTTCGTATGTAATCTTGCTACTAGTCTTTTACAATGCCGTGCCTTATCCTTCATGTTCAGAAATACAATAATTTTATTTTCTCAGGTGAATGTGTATGTGAAACTGTAATTATTTGGGGCACTAACATTTGACCTCCACAGGTCATTTCCATAAAGTATTGGTCTATTACAAGTTCGTATGTTAAATCAATTTGAGAGTGATCGATAATCCCCACTGAAGACAATGTGAAGACCAAAACCTAAAAACTCAGTCTTTGGTTTGTAATACATTTTTCTGTGAACTGTTAAGTCTTGCTGAGTGACTACAACAGTAGGCCATGTTTCCACGGTAATGATTTCCACCATGTAAAAAGCAGAGCTGTGTGCGTGCTTCCCACCCTGAGCTCCTATAGTTTCAATGCTAAATGGTGTCAACAGTATTCTCAATGTAAAGCCATTTATGTGATAACTAAACAAAATAATTTGATTTGCATAATTGTGGAAATTGCTCAGTGAGGTTGCATCTGGCTTGCTCCTTACATATGGATTCCAGCATTACTAATAAAAATTGAAAATGTCTTAATTAACAATTACTAATATAGACATGCCTAATTATGGATATTTAATAAAGCTAACAGTGGTGAAAGATAATAGTATTGAGAAGCATTGTTCACTGAAGTTGTTGCACTGAAGAGAAAGTATTTTCAATATTTTGAGGATTTCAGCCTTCGATCAAATAAAATGCCTAGGAAATAAGGCTAATTTTTAATGAGGCAATGTCAGTCACAAAACAGCAAGTACAATTTTGGTGATTTTGGAATTGGTACAGAACTTTCTTAAGGTACACTGAATTTAAGGATGATATTTTGCCCTTATACCTGGCTTTTCTCCCACTGTAACGCCGTCAGCACTACTTCATTGTGCACACAGTGATGTGAATTAATGCCAGAATAACAATTTTGAACTGGAATTTCCTGGCTATTTGCTGATGTGTGTTACTATGATACCCTGTTTTCCAAGATTAATTCTTTAGTGTGGTAAGCGAAAGAAAGGTGTCCAACAATTCAAATGTGGGTGTATCCTTGTGTCAGCAGAGCTTCCCCATCTAAAAAATTTAGTCACCCATGACTAAATATAAAATTGAAGTTTTTCTGAAATAAAATCATTTTGTGCTGGAATTTTCTGGACTTCAAACATGCATGTGTGTATAAACTTAATACTACTTTATATAAGGGGTGTGTGTTCATGTGAAAGATTGGTATAAATTATACATGTATGTGAGCCTTTCTTCTGAATATCAGCTTTTTTTGATATGCCTTTTTTATGGGTGGAAGACTTAATGGTACCCTTGTGGTGGCTGAGGTCATTAAAAATGTGCTCAATAACATTAACAATGACCACTACTGTATGACCATAGAAGGAAAGGGCTACAACTTTATTCCTAAATCATAAATGTCTAGTATTATATTGGAAGAAGTAAGAACAAAATTGTGCAAATACAATTACCGAGTCCTGGTTTCCTCTCACATCAAATTTACATGGAATCTATCACAATTCTTCCTAATATATTATGGTTAAGGACAAATTCTGTATGCTCTATTGTTATGGCAGAAGAATGTGAATAGAAAGCCAAATTCTTCAGTGCACAATAGATGTTTCACCAACAGTTGAACTGGGCTCTGCAGCCAGTTTTGCAGGGAGAATGCATTGCTCCATTTTCCCCTCCCTTCATGCATACGTAACAGGAAAAAGAAATGACTAGTACCATGTATTTGCACCACATGTATACATACGGTCTTAAAAATTACATTGCATTGCTTTGAAATTCCTTAGAGAATTTCATGCTGCTGTAGGGAGAGAAAAACCTATCATTTTTTTTCATGTCTGCACTACTGAAAATGCCCATTTCTTGCTCTGTCCTGCTCAAGACTTTCTACCCTGTGCCGTCACACTCAAGGCTATTCTTCACCCACCTTGCACAAGTTTGAGATCATTAGTAATAACAGATTTGAAATAAGATTCAGCATTCCAGGTATTTGAACCTGAATACCAATAGCATGAGTTTAGAATTGCACATTTTTACTTAAATGGTTTATTTGCATTCCTTTCCAGATGCTTTCTTCATTCTGCAATATTTAATTGACTTTTAATCATGTTTTGAAAGCTGTTTTTGTAACCATGAGGCTATGAACTTTATATTCTTCTTAAAAAAAAAAAAAAAGAATTCATATGAAATATGATCAAGAAATTACACTTTTAAAGGAAAGGATTAGGAGGATTCATCTAAATTAGGGGGATTCATCTAAATTGACTAATAAAATACTCTTAATTGGGCTGTACAGTGGAGACAGAAGTATCTCCAGCAAGTTTTACATTTCACAGCAATGTGGACTGAATAGAACATTAGCAGGATCTAAGCAGTCTATTTAGTTGTGGACATCTACAGTTAGGTCACAGTATGTCTTCCCAGAAGTTGTGAAGATTTATATACAAGTAAAATTGAGATCTGGCAATGTTGTTTACTAAAATGAATTGTAAACTGTATTTGCACGTGGTGTTTTCAATTTACAGCTTATATTCTTTGGGCTAGAAATTCTCAGTATTTTAACTTTTCTGATTCAGTTTGGGAAAAGGCATTATTCTTAAGCTAAAATAGTACGTTTAGCTTTCCTATTGTCCTTACTATGAATGCATGGTACTACAGTAGAATGCAAAAAGGTTCTGTTTAGTTGTGCTTAGCTCAATTTAGCAAAAAAGTTTCTGGTTTTGATATGCACATTTGTCAAAATCTCGACCAGACAAGAGTCTGCAAATGTCATAGAATAGCTGTAATACTAATGACTTTTTTTTTGTATTCTTAATGCAATAATATATCATATGAGTATACAACAGATACCAAGATCTTGTAAAATCAAATAACAAAAAACCTATCAAATCAAGTACCAGGAATTTAGCTTAGTGGTATAATTTAATTTGCAGTCAGTAAGCAGGGAAGCCATTTCAAAACAATGTTTCTGTAATATTAGGGAAGACAAAATATCCCCTTAATATGCATGTGGCTACCTTTAAGATACAAAGTCTGTGGACTTGTGTAGCTAAGGTTAATTTCCTGGATATATATTTGTAGGCACAGGGGTATTAATTTGGCAATAATCCATACTGCAGAAGAAAACCTACTGTGGAGGAGAAGGGGCTTGGTGAGAAGGAAAAATTGCATTACATTCAGCATGCAATTGCAAGGCCAATTGTTGAATATTTAAGACTATTTAATTGACTATTTAGAGACTATTTAGAAGACTGACTAGAAAATGAGGCCACATGAAAATCCATGTCCTGTCATAGATAATTTGTTGGTTTCGCAGGGAATCTAGCATTTCTACACATCACTTTTTCTGTCTCCAAGGGAATGGTCAGGTTAAATTTGTAAATGTATTTCCAAATTCTCAGAGGAAAGGTGCTACATGTGAGTATTATTAGTAATAAGATCACTATGTTGTGTCAATGGGCATAGTGGCATCCTGGAAAATAGTTCTCATATCATTATTAGCCATGACAATTCCAAGAGGAAATGTTAAGTACAATACTACAAAATGGAGTTCTTTTGGGCATATTCTCTTTTTTATGTGCTACTGAATAAAACTGCCCTTTTAAACGTAAGCATTATTTCCTTTTCAGTTTCCAGCGCTGAAAACACTGAATGCAAAAAAGTGATTGTGTGGATCATTTCTCTTTTCTTCCACATAATTTGTTAATGTATACAGCAATGGAGAATTTTAAGAGATTCCTTTCATAAAACGTAAGAACAAATTATCTTCATTCAGTCCAATTTATACGTGAGAAGAACTGACTCAAAACAGTCCTGTGATCAATGCTGCTATGACTACCTTAAATATATTCACTGAATATTATCTCTACAGAAAACAGCCATGTAGGATTAATTGTTATGAGTTGTTTTTTGTTTTTTTTTTTTTTTAATTGATTTTTAAAGGTTACAATTTTTAAATGATACTGTCATGTAAATGTAGTGTGAAGGTTTAAGTGCAAATCACTCTAAGGTAACTTTTTTTTTTTTAAGAGCGGACTAATGCAGTATTATGTTTTATAGAGCAATAAAATTATGTACTAAAATTATGCTCATAAATGTAAGCAAATGTAAACCAAGCTATTAGTTATGTTTTCTCAGATAAAAGTGATTAGCATAGCTATCAAACTCTTCTCCCATTTGAATAACAGAATTATGTCTGAAATCTAAAGCTTGTTTGCAAAAGCTGAGTCTTAAAAAGAAATGTAAATCCAGCTATCAATGTTGTATTTGAAAGTGAATGCAGTGGCCTGCCCATCATTCTGCTAACAACTAAGAGCAGAGGAACATGACCCAAATTGCAGCTAAACATATCAATATGAAATGTGCCTCAAACACTATTTAAGAAATCATTCTTAGCATTTTATCATGATCTCCTTACTGC